GTAAGCATTTGCTTTTCCCCTGAGTTATGGAGGAAGCCATTGGAATGACATGGTACAGAATGTTTTCACCTTAGTTTGGCCCTTAAGTGTTTCCCTTTTGGCTTCCATATTTGCATCCCTCAGAGGAACTTTTTTACTGACTCTGAATGTGTTCCACTCCAATCTTCCTGAATCCCTGTTTATTTTTCTTTGTTCAAAATTTTATTTTAAAATAGAGGTGAGGTCTCGTTATGTTCCTAGGCTGGCCTCAAACTCAGTGGCTCAAGTGATCCTCTCACTGCAGCTTCCTGAGTAGCTGGGACTACAGGTGTGTGCCACCATGCCAGGCTGATCCCAGCTTTTTCACACACGGCTTCCTCCATTGTCCCTTTTGAGGCCACCACTTCCCTGCAGCCTGTAAAGGAGATGGCTTATTCTGTCGTATCCCAAGCAGTTCTCTTCTCCTTCTAAAACAGTTCTCAGCTGTTTGGAAAAACCCTTCTTCCTGATGGCTCAGGCTGCTCTGCTCTACCACATCTCACCCCTAATTTTGCTACCATCTAGATGATTTTTAATTATTCTTCATCATTAACTGAAGATATTTGTCATCCAGATCTACCTTTTTACCGGAGGAATTGCTGGCATGGTGAGGAAATCCAGGGCTGCGTGGCGGACGCCCTAGCTTAGTAATTCCTTGATCCTGATTTCTGGGACACTTTTTCCATGCTTTGGTTCAGCCACCCATGCCCACAGCCACAGCTTGAACCTCAGTTTTATTCAAAGAATGAGGTCCAGGCTGTGGCTGTGAGTATGGATGGCTCAACCAAAGCATGCAAGTTTTAAACTCAGTATGGCATGGAATGAGGTGGGACATGAATAAATAATTTAAGTAGTGTAGTCCAGTCTCCAATCCAGCTGTCTATATTCCCGACTTCTCGCTGCCGCAGTTCTACGCCGTGGCCTCCAGGGGGAGCTCGGCCTCTCAGTCCTGTAACCTGAAAGGGAAAGGGGCTGCCTTGGACCATGGATGCGCTGGGTTTTCAATTTTAGCAGGTCTTAGTGATAAGCAGGAGGGTGATGGAGCCACTTCTCATTGTTCAGATCCCATTTCTTCCGCTTTCTAACTGCATAGCACTTGGCAGGCTGCTCAGGTCTCAAGCTCTAACCTGCAAAACGAGGATAAAAAGTGTACCTCACAGGGAATAGATGAGGAATAACTGACTTAACGTGAGTACAGTGCTTACCAAAATGAGGCCTGTTCGCGGTGGGTTTTCTTTTTATTTTCCTTTTTTTTTTTTTTTTGAGACGAAGTTTCGCTCTTGTTACCCAGGCTGGAGTGCAATGGCGCGATCTCGGCTCACCGCAACCTTCACCTCCTGGGTTCAGGCAGTTCTGCCTCAGCCTCCTGAGTAGCTGAGATTACAGGCACGCGCCACTGTGCCCAGCCAATTTTTTGTATTTTTAGTAGAGACGGGGTTTCACCATGTTGATCAGGATGGTCTCGATCTCTTGACCTCGTGATCCACCCGCCTCGGCCTCCCAAAGTGCTGGGATTACAGGCGTGAGCCACTGCGCCCGGTCCCTTTTTATTTTTATTTTTTTTTCTTTCTTTTGAGACGGAGTCTCGCTCTGTCGCCCAGGCTGGAGTGCAGAGGCATGATTTCCGCTCACTGCAACCTTCACCTCCTGGGTTCAAGCAATTCTCCTGCCTCGGCCTCCTGAGTAGCTGGGTCTACTATAGGTGCCTGCCACCATGCCTGGCTAATACTTTATATTTTTAGTAGAGATGGGGTTTCACCGTGTTAGCCAGGATAGTCTCGATCTCCTGACCTCGTGATCCACCCGCCTGGGCCTCCCAAAGTGCTGGGATTACAGGCGTGAGCCACCGCGCCCAGCCTCGAGCTGAGTTTTCATTGAGAGGAGTGAAGAGGTTAAAGGCTATTCTTGTTCCATGGGGTGGTCTCCTGTATTCTATTCTTGTCTCAAGTGGGAGTCTAAATCGGTGAAAAGCTTCTGCCCTGATATTGCTGCACAGCTGTGGACATGGAACAGCCCCTCCCACTCCCCACAGCCCTACGTCTTGCTTCCCAAGGTCTACAAGGACTCAGGGTGGGGCTGGAGGAAGAAAGTGGGAGGACGTGGCTTTTGCAAGTCTCCCTGGGCCATATGACATTCTTCTCTCCTTGGGTTCATTGAACAGGGAATATACAGGTTTTCCCTTTTTTGCATGTACATACTTATTTCTGGGAGTGGCATAGAGGCAATTGTTGCTTAAGAAGCATTTAAAACGGTCATAGCCTTTTTCACTTGTTTATTACAAAAAGGGGAAGAAGGATAGTGCCTCTCACAGTAGCATGCTGAATTTCTTTACCAGGCTGGGACAGGACGGGTGCTGCCTCTCTCACTCAGCTCACATCCAGTCCTTAGTCCCCTGCTCAGGTTTCCTTTCACTATATCCAACCCCATGTTCCAGTCAGGTGCCTAGGTGAGGAAGCCCAGCATGGAAGGGGCGGGATGTGGGCATGGTTCAAAATCCACACAGAAACGTGGAGATCCAAAATGTAATGAATGGATTTGGATGAATTTAAAAAATATCAGCTATAAAAGTAAATGCAGAGTTGGGTGTGGTATCACGTGCCTGTAGTCCCAGCTACTCAGAAGGCTGAGGTGGGAGAACCACGTGAGCCCTGGAGTTTGAGGCTGCAGTTTTCTATGTGTGAATGTACAGCCACTTCATTCCAGTCTGGGCAAACTAGCGAAGCCCCATCTCCTGAAAAAGCAAAAGCAAATGCAACTGCAGAAATGCTTACTGAAACATAAGATATATAGCATAGCTCATAAAGGAAAGGACAGAAAGCAAAGGAAATCTCAAGAAAGCTTAAAAAAAATCAGCTTAAAACATGTTTACAGATATTAGATGAAAAAAACTAGTGATGAAAACAAATGTAAATTAATTTAATTTTAAAGTCTATTTAGAAAGTGTTTAAAATAGATATGTTGGAACAAAATAATATAGAAGTAAAAATGATGGGCAAACTATCATCAGCAAACACAAACAAAAAACAGGGTGACAATATAATTTTTAGTAAAAATAATTTGAGACAAAATACATAAGTGTATCCAAAAGAGAAAGGGAAATTTTCACTATACTAATAATAAATAGAAACATTCATGACAAACATTTTATATACAGAATGGTGTAACATCAACATATGAAGCAAAGTACTCCATGATCTAGCAGTTTTACTCCTGGATGCATTCCAGCATAAATGTATATTTCGTATCATTAAAAAGAATATAGTAGAATGTTCATAGTAGCATGTTTAGTAATAGCTCCCAAACAGAAACCACCCAAAAAACCACAATCAGTAGAATAGATGCATTGTGAAATATTCACATAATGGAATATTATACAACAATGAGCATGAATGTTCTGAAGGCAATAATCTGCCTGACTCTCACATTCAGAATGCTGAGCAGAACATGCTCACCACAAAGGAGCACATGCTGTGTGATTCCATTTATATAAAGGGTAAAACAGAAGAAAAAAATCTCTGTGGTTGGAAGCCAGGGTAGGGATTTCTCTTTGAGGAGGCTGGTGTTGGACCTAGAAGCCAGGATGATGGGAGGGGTCCTAGGGCTCTGGAAATGTTCTGGTTTAGATCTGGGTCTGGTTATATGCAGGTATGATAGTTTTTTGAAAAATGTTCAGTCTGTTCACTCAATTTGTGTACTTTAAATATATTTTAGTAAAAAGTATAAAAATGAAGGAAAATGGTCAGAAATACGGGAGAATTGTAAAAAAATAGAGACTTTAACTTATTGCTTCAGACTTTCTGCTTAAATAAAGAACAGATCTTTGAATAATATAGATTGTATTATTGCAAATGGTACCACATTAAAAAAAATATATGTGTGTATATGTATATACTCTATTTGTTGCCTCTATTTTATACTAAAAAGAAATCCTGAAGTCTCAAAAGCAGGAATTGCATATATCATGTGACGTTCTGGAACCACAGTGTGGTAAACTAGATATTAGTATTACTATTTTAAACAAAAATGAAAATTACTTGGAATATGTCAAATAAATATTTAAGGATTAAATTAAGACAACACAGATTACAAATATAATTGGTTTTTAAAAAGTAAAAAGTGAGAGGAATGCATATTTTTAAAAAAATACTGTCCAGCTGTCTAAACCTGAATTTAGTGGCAACAGTGGCAGGTTCGTTGTCTATTATTTTTTTAAATGAAAATAAATTATATTTATAATTTAATTTGATGAAACAAGTATAAAATAAACCTGAGAGGTAGGAGGGAGGAAGTAATAAGAGTAAAAGCAGTGAACAAAATAATTAGAAAAGAAAAAAGAAGAAAAAAATAGAGCTGATAATAAATCTAAATACTTATTGCTTGGAAAGATAAAGAAAACTATACAATATAGACCTCTAGCAAATTTAATTAGGAATGAAAGAACACAAACATAAAGAGAAACAAGAAGGAATTTTAAATAAATAGTTATTTATGTCATGTTTAATATACATTTTAAATTGTAATTACAAAGATTTAATAATGAAACTAAAACTCTAATAGATATAGAATGATTAGAGAAATTTGAAAGATTTTCAGTCTTTTTTTCCAATTTATGGTTTGACATCAGATGGTTGCTTGTAAGCTTTTTTAGACTTCTAAGGAGACTTTTGTTGGAGCTTGGGAGTCAGAAACCTGGGTGTCACCTGGTTCTGCAGAGTACTCATGTGACCTTTGACCTTGTGCAACCCACTTAACCTTGTTGAGTGAATGAGAGTACCAGTGAGTAAGTGCTTGAGTGCAGGCATGCCTTAGCCTTCTCAGAGGTTATGGTGAACTGAATTAATATATGTGAAGTTCTTAGCATCAGGCCTGTTAAATGGTGAGCATTCAATTAACATTAAGTGTTACATCATCCAATGTTTTGTAGAATATGGGAATCAGAGTATCTATGAGTAATCTTTTGATATTTATATATATATTTTTAGGTTATCCTGATCCAGAAAATTTTTCCTGGACAGAATACCTGGAAGCTACTCAAACCAATGCAGTTCCTGCCAAAGTGTTTAAAATGGTAAGTTATATGTGGGTATGTACTCTCACCTTTCGTTTCTATTGAGTCACGCCTTCATTTGGCAGTTTAAATTATTCCAGTCTTTTCTTTCTAAATTCAAGTAGTAGTTTTGTAACCAATATGCTTTTCTTTTAGTTAAAAATACAAAGTAGGTGACTCATTGCTGTTGTTCTAATATACAAATGTAGATGACTTCCTTCCTTGAAAAATGGCATATCAGAGGTTCAATTGAAAGTACTTCATCAACTGCTGATGATCCATTCCTTACATTTTTGTTTCCTTTATTCTGCTCAGTGGGAACTCTGAATTTTTTTAGTATCACTCTCTCAGGGACTACTTGAATATCTCTGATGCCATAACAAAATAGTTGAAATGCATAGCTTTTGTGTGAATAATTTTACATATTTTGAGGTAAACGTTTCTTTTAGCACTTGATAGAATACTAATTTTTAAAGTTCAAATTTATACTTATATATTTATTGCAGGCTTGAACTAAGTATAAATTAATTTCTAAAATAAAGTGCATAGGTAGTACAGTTAAATATATTTGTATCCTAAACCAGTGGTTTTCAAACTCTATTCCCTTTCAGTTTTCTGTGTGTTTGAGACTGAAAGGTACATATTTTAAATTATTATGTTATTATGTCAGTTTCAAGTTGTTCCCCAACTTGTCTTTAATCAGAATTTTATATATTGGGCTTCTACATATGATTTCATTTATTGAAAGTTTTCTAGAGATCAAGAGGGGTTTGAAACAAAATATTTCATTTTTTGAAAAATTGATTATAACTGACTGCATTTGAGGAAAGATGTCCATATGATAAAATCAGGAGGGTAGAAGCTCTGGAGCACTAAGAAGGGCTTTAAGAAGAGCAAAGATTCAGTAAGCAAAAATGCTTACTGTACTTTACTTTTCCAAAAGGAAACCGACCAGGAAATAAAATTCTGAAAAGTAGCCAAGAAGGCAACTTTCAGGCTCTGTTCTGGGTTATTGTGGATTCAGCTCAGGTAGGTGTCTTAGGCATCCATGATACTAAACCTTTGTTGTTCAGGACAGTGACCTCGGGGAGAACAGAAAGATTCTGAGATCAAAGACCTAACTATAGTCCATATACTCCATTTGGTAGATGTAATAATGCATCTTACAAAGAAAATGTGTTTCTATAAAAGCTGGTGAGAAACATTCCAGATAGTGCAGAAAGATTTGACTGTTTATTACTGATGTATTAGAAGGGTTTTATTTTCCTTTAGCCATTTCTAGACTTGAAAAATTCAAAACATTTTTGTTTCTAATAAAACCAGTTGAACACTTTTATGTGCAATAGCTTTCAAAGTGAAACTTCTTGCCAACCTATAGAAACTATCAGAGTTGCCTTTGACTTTGATTTTTCAGAGTTGAATTTCCTTAGTTTTCATGATTTGATAAGTCCGGTGTCTTTTTTCTTACTCCATCATGATGACTCCCTGTGTGTCTGTGGTTATAGACTCTTGGTTCCTAACATTGTAAGACTTGAAAGAAACCTTAACACAGATCACCTGTCTCATGTTACAGATGAAATGACAAAAGCATAGGTTATGGCTTTGAAGTACATCATAATATGATTTTAAAACAGTTTAACAGCTGAAATTATACAGCTTTTATCTAAGTATATTTTAGATTTGTAAAGGATCATGTTTATCCTTTCTGAGGATTTATTAAATAATTTTGCCTTCTGGGCTATACACTTTAAAACTGGGCAGTTGAGAATAGTCAATAATTTATGAAATTATAAGCTCAGTATTAGAAAGAATAAAAAAATCTAAACTAACATAGGAACTGTAATAAGATGCTTTTTGAACTTTAGTGTAATCATTAACAAATTTATGATGTAATCTGTCTTTGAATTTTTAGCTATCTTTAAAATGGCAGAAAAAAATATTTTCTCATAGGTTTTTGTGAAATGAATGAAATAATATGCATGCAGTCCTATGAGCTCTTAAAACTAAATTACAGCCAGGCACAGTGACTCACGCCTGTAATCCCAGCACTTTGGGAGGCTGAGGTGGGTGGATCACCTGAGGTCAGTAGTTTGAGACCAGCCTGGCCAACATGGTGAAATCCTCTCTCTACTAATAATATAACAATTAGCTGGGCATGGTGGCGCATGCCTGTAATCCCAGCTACTCTGGAGGCTGAGACAGGAGAATCACTTGAACTTGGGAGGCAGAGTTTGCAGTGAGCTGAGATAGCACCATTGCACTCCAGCCTGTGTGAGAAGAGCGAAACTCCATCACAAACAAAAAGCAACAAAAAACTAAATTCCAGTTGTATTAAGATCTGCATACTAAAACGAAAACAGTAGTATTTTAGAAAAAAAAGAAGGATATCTGAATTACTGAATTTTGCATGACTTGTTGCACTGATGATGTTTACAGAGGTTGCCTCATGGTTTTCTGCCAAATATGAAACTTGAAGTTGTGGATAAACGAAACCCCAGGTTAATTCGTGTTGCTACAATTGTAGATGTTGACGACCAAAGAGTAAAGGTACATATTTTAAATTATTATGTTATTATATCAGTATTTTTCCTACATCATTTTTGTTTCCTCCACCCTCCCATTATCTGACCCTTCCTCATTTTTAAATTCATCTGCACAATAATTTTTTTTGTGTGGGGGAAACATTCTGGATTTGCCCTTGAAGATTGACCCTGGCCAAGATGAGACTAGAGGAACCCAAAGAAAAGGAAGGGGTGTAACTCACACCTGAAGCTGGCTACAAAGGCTCTGATTTTTTGAATCAGCAGAAAAATAAAACAGCAACTGTCTTAATTACTAGTCACATGTCTTTGGATGGAGAGATTCTCAGCTTATGTGTATGTTTAGGGGGAAATCTGTAGATAGACATGACTGTTTTGAGAGATATTCTAATACATTTCTGTTTGGATTTGTTGTTTTGACTTTTACTGTCAGTTCTTTTTTTAAAGCTTCTTTTTATTGACATTATATTTTTCTTGAAATCATTGTTGTTAAACAGCTTACCAAGAACAATTAAATCTTTTTTCCTGCTTTTCTTCACCAAATAAAAAAATTAAAAACACTATATTCACTGTAGCTAGAAACAAAAGGTTAGATTTCAAATTAAAGATTTGATTACAAGATTTCTATACTGTCCTTTATTTTTCTCAGAGAGCTGAAAGCTCTGTAGAATTTATTAAATTTTCTACAACATATAACAGTTCAAAAATTATTTTCCACACAAGCATAATTTCTTTTCATAGTAATAAAGATTGAAGTCAGCTAATTTTGAAAGGGATTATCTTAAAAGATAGATTAAGGTTTGATATAATTTAAAAGAAATCTTATTTGCTGTATCCCTAATTTGAAAATAATATCTGATTCAATTTATACAGAATAATCAGTACACACATTTTAGTAAAAGTTAGAGATGAGTGTCCAACTTGGCAATAGATTATCGAGAGTGTACACTGTTCATTATTCTTCTGATGAATGAAAGCAGTAAGTGTGTTAAATAATACTCAGGAATAATATAGACATTTTTCCATATACCTTCTTACTAATGGTTTAATTTTAAATGTATTGCTTTAATTCATATTTATTTGTGGCATTTTCAATGGAAATGACTTTTGCATATCATAATTGCTTTGTTAATTCAGTGACATTTTATTATTAACTTTTGTTTTAAAAGTATGCCAGGCATGGTGGTTCATGCCTGTAATCCCAGCATTTTGGGAGGCTGAGGCAGATGAATCACCTGAGATCAGGAGTTTGAGGCCAGCCTGGCCAACATGGTGAAACCCTGTCTCTATTAAAAGTACAAGAATTAGCCAGATGTGGTGGCATGTGCCTGTAATTTCAGCTACTCAGGAGGCTGAGGCAAAAGAATCGCTTGAGCTGGGGAGGCAGAGGTTGCAGTGAGCCGAGATCGCACCACCGCACTCCAGCCTGGGCAACAGAGCGAGACTCTGTCTCAAAAAAATAAAAGCATTGCATTTCTAAGATAAGCTCAATCTTAATAGCACATCAAATCTGACTTACATTTTTAGATGACAGACTTCTCTTATTATTCAAAACATAGATCCTATAGCATTGATTGATCCTTCATTGCCAGTGTATAAGCTGCAATTGAAGTTTTTCTGCTCTTGGCTTTGCCCAGTACATTCTTCTATTTTTCAGTTAATGTGTTGATCATATCATTGTTTTGATTATATTGTTTATATTGTTCTATTATTCTCTAATATTTTTTTAAAGTCAGTATTTTTAAAAGAAATTTTTTATCCCAGTACATAATAGATGCTTACTATATGTGTGAGTGAATTAAGGAGGGCGTGGAGGAGTGAATGGCACTGAATGCACTTTGGCACTCTGTCAATCTGAATATGATTATTTTGGTCCACAAGCACTCTTATCTTATTTTCAAATTTACTCTTCTATTAGACGTCTGGAGTAACAATGTATTGGGAAATGCCCTCGGACAAGACTGATCTGGGTTCAAATTCCAGCAATGACTTATTTGACTGTACAGTAACTTGGTGAAATTACTCAATATATTTGAACTTTCCTTATCTGTAAAGTGTTGGTGTCAACAATACCTGCTTCACAAGCTTGTTGTGAAAATTCAGTGAGGTCATGAATGTACAATTCCTGAAACTCTACCTGGCTGTTTATACTATAGGTACTTCAGCAGTAGCTGCTGCTGTAATTAGTTAATGCAAATACCCTGTGCTGCTCTCCCTGGGTGTATTATTTTCTGTGTTAATGAAGAGACCTCATGGAAGCAATTGTCGTCAGTAGATGGGCAAAGCCTACACTCCTTGGTGACAAAAGTAGGAGGTTTGATTGGAGTTATGTGGGGGATGTTAATGGGAGCAGATGTTACCGTGCTGCATGCCTATATTTGACTGTGAGAGCAGAGTCAGCCTGTTCTAACAACAAGAGCTACATTTTCAGCAATGCCTGTGGTGGTGATTGCACTTAGCCTTGTCAGACACTGTTCTAAGGGATTTCCATGTGTTAATATATCCTCCTGCCACCATGTGAAATAAGGTACTATTGTTACACCCATTCTGTAGATGAAGAAACTGAAGCCCATAGAGGTTAAGTAATTGGTCCAAGGTCACAAGTTAGTATACATGGGAACAGGGTTTTAAACCCCAGCTTTCAAACAGATGTTTTCAACTCTAGAGCTTATAGCAGTCCTACTCTTCCTACTCTTGTGTTCTAATTTCTATCCTAAATAACTTGCTTCCTAGTGGGGAAGCAGATATATAGGATGAGGAGTAGTGAAGGCCCATGACCCCACTTGCTTTGTCACTTGCACCTAAGTCCAGATTGCCTGTCTTGCCTATGGTCTTGTATGGCACTGGTAGTCCTTGACAGAGCACAGCAGATTCACTCAAGATGACTTCGTTTCCTTCTGATACTCCCCTACTAAAAATACAAAAACTTTATTTATTTTATTATTTTTATTTTTATTACACTTTTTTAAAGATACAAATCACATACCTTAAAATTCATTGGTCTTAGGTATATTCACAAAGTTGTGCAAACATCACCACTAAGTTTAAACATTTCATTACCCCAAGAGCAACCTTGTCAACCTTGTACCCATTAGCCGTCACTCCTCATTCTACCCTCCTTTTACCCAACAACCCCCCTGGTCATCAGTAATCTACTTTCTATATGGATTTGTCTAGTCTGGGCAATTAATATAAACACAGTCCTATAATATGTGATCTTTTGATTGGCTTCCTTCACCTGGCATAATGTTTCCAAAGTTCATCGATATGGTAGTGTCAGTACTTCATTCCTTTTTATTTCTGAATAATGTTCCATTGTATGGATATACCATATTTTATCTCCTTATCAGTTGATGGACATTTGGGTTGTCTATTTTGGGCTATTTTGATTACTGCTGGTATCAACATTCACATATGTTTTTGTGTGGACGCATGTTTTTATTTCTTTTGGTTATATACCTAGGTGTGGAATTGCTGGGTCATATGGTAACTCTATTTTTGAGCTTTTGAGGAACAGCCAAAATGCCTTCTGAAGTGGCTGCACTGTTTTACTTTCCCATTAGCAGTACATGAGGACTCCAACTTCCCCACATCTTCGCCTCCACTTGTTATTTGTTTTATTTTGTTTTGTTTTTAAATTATTTATTTATTTATTTATTTTTGCTAGTTTAGTGGTTCTTACGGGCTTTGGGTCTAAAAAAAATCAGGATTATTATTATTTATATGGGCTCACTAATAATATCCCAGCTAAGAGAATTGGGATGAAATGACTTGCCTATTTGTAGTAGTAGAAGCAGTAGCAGTCAGTAGTGGATGTAGTGGTGCAGGGATCAGAAGCAGTAGAAATAGTAATAGTAGAGTAGGCACTTAGCAAGTATGTTATCTATCACGCTTTTGGCTTCTCAACAACTCTTTTAGGTAGATGTTATTTTATCTGTACAGTTGGCATGGAGAACTTAAGTAATTTGATGAAGATTTGAAGGATAACCATGTTTCTAATCCGAAGCCAGTATTCTCCACATTTTAGCAATTGCCCTGTAGCTGTGATAAGCCATTGGAACTGGAGATCATACATGGTCAGTGCTGGGGCATAGGACCATGAGCAGTCTCATCCAGTATACTCTACTTGCTCACCCTTATAAATCCACCTGGACTAGTCGGGCCAGATTTTCTGATTTTCATACTGAAAATACTCATTTGGTGATGTGTGATTCATTGGAAGGTGAGTGGTGAAGTTTTTCTCACCATGGCAGTGTTTTAAGATGCTAGGTTTATTAATGATGATGGTTGCTCTCTAATAAATATTTATGTTGTACTCACTGTATCTTGTTCAATTTATAGCCAGGGATTATGTTTAATAATTATTCTTTTGTTTGATTGCAGAGTGTATGCTGTTATATCTGAAAAGCCCATGACTGTCACCTTATCAGAAAATGCACATTAAATTACAATAGATAGATGGATGCTTTTAGGAAGGTTAGCCATTATTTGGGGGGAAAAGTATTCTACAAATAAATATAAAGGAAGGACTTAAAACAGAGTAATGTTTGATAAATATTTGCCATGTGGGAACTGCAGCTAAGCTGTGAAATGAATTATAAATGAATTTCAAATAGATGCTTTACGAAGTTCTAGTGAATTGTTAATAAATTGAGTCTCTTCAGCAAGTCTTTTCATGTTTAATATGTTAAATGGACATATTCGTGGCATTTCACAATGAAATTAGAGCATCATGACCTAGAGAAATAGTTATGACTGTCTAATTATATGACTAGAAACTATTTTGGATTTTATGTCAGATCAATAAGTTCAAAAGCTCTTGTTTGAGAAAAACCTGCAGGAGTATTAATGCAAAGCAGAAGTCCAGATACGAGTCAGTGATGTTCACCTTACTAAGGGTCGCCTGTGCTTCCAGAAAGCCACTTGTCCTCTGTGAGTCCTAGTTGGAAGATCAGCCAAAAAGGTTGCAGAATCTGGAATATACCATCCTGCTTGCCAAAGTCTATA